ATATGTTTTATTTATATTAATATAATTTTATTTTTAACTATATAAGACATATTTGATCAATTTGACATTTTGAGTTGTGACCTTTTTTTACATCATTCTATTTCTATACAATCTTGACTTTGAAAATTAAGATGGCGGCCAGTTAAAATTGTCAAAAAAAATGGAACCAAAGGTTTTCTTGTGGAAAATTTTCAATATGAAAAACATACGTTCAAAAAATGAACACCAAAGCCTACAAAAATTACATAGTCAAAATAAACAGATAATCTACTAAACAGTATCAGCGATGGTAAAAAGGACACGTAATTCATGACAACGCTATTTAACAGCAATCTGTATCACAACATTTGTTGAAATAAATTTAAAACTATATCTTGCCTTATGAGCTTGTGATTTCCATCAATATGCCACACAGAGTTGGGGCCTGCAACTCTGTGCGTCGATGGGTGCTCTGAACAGATCGTAGTGCAATTCCACCAGGATAAATGCGATGCATTACCTCTCTAACACGCGAACGTTGTACCTAAATTGTAATATACATATTAAACTTACAAACCTCTATAATTATAATACAATCAACTGAATTAGTCATCAACCAGCATCGGTAGGAAGTTTCATCAACAATCAGCAGAGGTTTCTGTTTACACACAAAATTTATTTCACATGCCAGAACTGTATTCTGCAATCAAAACTGAGTGCATATTTGATTAAATGCTTTCACAATAATGTGTTTATCAAACTTGGATATCATAAATTAAAGGAATATTTTATTAGGCATTAAATAGCTACATAAAAATGTTATAATCAAATGTTGGTCAATGTATTAAAGTAGAGGTGCACTTAAAAAATTTGTATTCTTTTTTTTTTATTTTAAGTTATAAAAGTATATCTGTTTGAAGATTTTTATGTTTTTCGTTAAGTAGCTTCTTTATTTGAAAAATTAAGTAAAATTGGTTGTTGAGTGGATAATTCAGATTACAAGAATATATCCTATTTTTTAACACACACATTTTCTATAAAGGAGGCATTTAAAAAAAATGTAAAAAAATAATATAATTAGAAAACATTACAAGGGATATGATTCTTGGCTACTTTAACCCAAACAATCCATTGTTTTTTATGTAGTGTAGCTTATGTGTTTTATGCAATTATTAATATTCCCCCTGAATGTTGGACTTGTCTGCGGCCTTTGATACGGTGGACCACTGTATTTTAACAAATAGGCTCAAAGAAGTTGGGTTTGACGGAACCATACTAAAGTGGTTTATATCTTACATTTCAGATAGAACACAGTGGGTAAAAATCAATGAAAATTATTCTGCACCTTGTCGACTCTTGTTTGGAGTGCCACGAGGAAGCGTAATCGGTCCTCTCCTTTATTTCCATTTATTGTCGTCCCTTGGGGTGATATAGTTCGGAGACACAATCTACAGTTTCACGCCCATGCCGAAGATACTCAACTTTACATTTCTTTTAAGCCCAATCAATCAGATGCAGACATTGCAATTCATCAATAGACTTATGTATTGAAGAAATTCGCGAATGGATGGTCCTACGGTGGCTGATTTCCGCCATCAATTTTTTAAAATATAATTACGGCGTTATAACGCCGTATTTACGGCGTTATTACGCTCTACTATGGCGTTATAACGCCCTATTACTGCGTTATTACGCCCTATTACGGCGTTATAACGCTCTAAAATACGGCGTTATTACGCCCTAATATGGCGTTATTACGCCCTAATACGGCGTTATTACGCCCTAATACCGCATTATTACGCCCTAATACGGCGTAGTTACGCAATAATACGGCGTTATAACGCCGTAATAGGGCGTTATAACGCCATATTACGGCGTTATAACGCCCTATTACGACGTTATTACGCCCTAATACGACGTAATAACGCCCTAATACGGCGTTATAACGCCCTATTACGGCGTTATGACGCCCTAATACGGCGTTATTACGCCCTATTACGGCGTTATAACACCATAAAATACAGCGTTATAACGCCCTAATACGGCGTTAATATGCGTTAAATTACTGTTCTATTTCTGTGGATTATCAGCTACCGCAAATGTGACACCGTATGCGCCCCATATGCACACGTTGATGAGAAACGTCATGTGGTGGTTTATGTACTGCTGTACCTGTTGGTAGCTAGCACGACCAAGGTAACTGCAGGTGAATGACTATAAGGGTTTTTACCATTCCTAGCTATTTATTTGTCGGAATCCTTATAATTTGTTAGCAGACTAGTATGTCATTATATCTAGGCCTAGGCTAGTCCCGGTAATATAGCAAGCCTAGCCTTCAAACCATAGTATTAGTATTACTAATTACTTTAGCAGTATAGCCTAGGCTAGGTTGTAGTAGGTCTACCTGTCTAACTACTGACTGTAGGGTAGGCCTACATCTCCGTCTCTTATCTAGCCTAGGCCTAGTAATTGTAGGTAAACCGCTGGCTTCGGTTAGACCTTTTAAGTGATTAAACCAGAGTGTTGTTGAATGTATTTTTGCGTTACCCTGAATGTGTAGAGAAGTTCAGTTTAGCAGGTGGTCCACCATTGTATTTTACCTAATAATTGTTTTATTTCATTTACAGAGTGTATGCATAAATGAAAAGAAAATAGAAACAATGTAAGTACAGTACAAAACAAGGATCAAGTGCGATCCATGGACCCCGTGTAAGTAGCTCAGGTCCAATATCTTCTACAGTAGTAAGGACCTCTAATGGGATATTCCATTTTCTGCACAGGCTATCTAATTATCCAAAGATTTTCGCGAGAGGATGTAAACAACGATTTAACAGCCGTATTGAGGACGTTCGTGGCTTATGACGGTATTTGTCTTTTCCGTAAGTGTATCATGTATTTAATAAAATCATATGTATTAATTTGTAACCCGAAAACAAACGTTAATTTGATTGATCATTTAGGCCTAGGCTAGGCCAGGCCTATTATAGGTACGTTACAAAAAAAATCAAATTGTTTGGATGTCTACCATTTTCATAGCACAAAATCTAATAAATGTTACAACATCAAAAACGTTTTCAGAATTAAATTTGGTTGCTTGGTTGATTTTCTATGATTTTTTAATTTTAATTTTAATTTTGCTGAAAATTTGGCTACAGGCATTATACAAATTGTGTGACCTTTTTCATTATCTGCACCATTAAAACATAACTTTTTTGTTTTTAATAGTTTTTCAATTATTTTTTCACAGATGCTGGATGATATAATGAGAACTCAAATGACAGATTTACATCAATATATATTCAGGGATTTAGCAGTAAATTTTATTAAATGATACCCCTTACCCCAAAATAATTACTTTTGGTGGGACCGGGTTAGATCAATATTCAAATCAAGCACTTTAATACACCACAACTGATGTAATATATATGTAGTTAGTTGCAGTGGCATACCTAGGGAGTACACATTCCCCCTAAAATACATTGTGTCCCCAGTCACCCCTCCCCCTCCCACATGAAAATATTTGGAGAAAAAAAATTAAATTATATTAAAATCACTTCATATCACCTTAATTTTGGAAGCCAGTGTCTGACTACCCACCCCCTCAGTTAATCAATCCCCTCCCCAACCCCCCCCCCCCCTCCATTTCAAGATACACTATTGGCTACTTGAAAGAACTAAATTTAAAAGAAACATGTTCAGTGTGTGTAGGGAACAATGTAAGCATGAGAGTACTAATTGCCTTCACATGCCGCCAACTTGAATCCCGT